TTTGTTTGTTTGGCTTGTCACTTTATCCATTTTTATGGGATCATTCATAACAATCATCATCATCATCATCATATTGATAAATGTTCTTTACATCCTTTTTTCATTTTTACTTTTTTGGTTTTTCTTTTCATATTTTTTCTATGGAAAAAACAAAATTTTTCAATTTTCTATTTTTCAAATATTCGTTTGTTTACATATACGCCAAACAGAGAGAGAGAGAGAGAGAGAGAGAGAGAGAGAGAGAGAGAAAAAAAAAAAGAGGGAAAAGAATCAAGATAGTAATTTTGGTTTCTTTAAAAAAATCCTTAGTTGAAATGAAACACCTATGTTGATGATGATAATTATTTTTTATGATAATAATGATAATAATGATCCTAATTTGTGCGTGTTTTGGTTGAAGTTTAACACGTTGCCTGTTATCAATGTTTATAAAAAAAATCATAGTGTTGCCGAATGAAAATGAAACCGTCTTGGATGAACGAATCAAGAGAGAGAACAACATCAACATTATTAAAGTAACGATAACAACAGAAAATATATGACAGTGTTGTTGATAAAGCGTAAATACCCAGGAAGTACCCAAACAAATAAAAAAGTGAAAATCAAACCAAAAAACCAAACCAAGATGATAAAGACGAAGAATAATTATACAAAAGTTATATATACGTTATAAGGCGCACAATTAACGGTTGGCTAGATAATTTTTTTTTCTTTTTTTTCCTGTTAATGTTAATGTTGTTGACATCATCATAAGTGAAAAAGATTAGGAAAAAAATATATTTTTTCCTGGAAAGATTCTATTCAAGTTTTTCATTTATATCCAAAACGAATGTGATTTTTTTTTTGTTTTTGGATTAATCAGAATTATACTTATTTCATCATCATCTTTACAATTACAACGCATTCCCTGAGAAAAACAAACAAACAAACAAAAAGTTTTATCAAGACTTAATTTGAATTTTAAAAAAAATGAAAATTTTAATTTGTAGCTTAATAGAATATTGTAATCGCAGACAATAATCATATAAAGAAATTACAAAAAACAAAAAAAAATTCCTTTAACAAACGTAAATTAATTTGAATAAAGAAACAAAAAAGTTAGCAATGAAAAGAGAATGGAAAATGGAAATTTAATTGGATTTTTTCAGTTAAAATTTTTAAAAATTTTCAATTTTAATGAAAATTATGTTCATTGAAACAAACAAACAGACAGAAAAAAATCGATAATGAAATTTTCTTTTTTCAGAGAAAAAAAAATTAATAAAAAACAACAGTGTGAAAAAAAAACAATGAAGGGAAATGAAATTAGATTTTTTTTTTTAAAGAAGTTTTTCAAAACGAAAACTGGAAAATTTGTTGACACGAACAACAAATCAGAAAAAACCAGAAAAACAATAAGGATACATACAAGAATTTCTGCCTCAACAAAGAAAATATGGTTGAAACAAAACAAGAATTGTCTTCTTCTTCTTTTTTATTCTTTGGTTGAAATTCACTTGATGTGATGGATTCCGGAATGATGAAAAAGTGAAAAAAAAAAGAAAAAAGAAAAACAACATTGTCAACGGAACAGCAACATTTTTATTATTATTATTATTTTCATGTCTTTTTTTTATAAATGTTGCTTGCTTGTTTGTGTTTGTTATTATTGTAATGATCAAATTATATAAATAAGTTGATGAAATAAATAAACAGATAGACAAAACATTGAATTAGACAAAGCGAAAAACAAAACTAGAAAAAAAACAATGGACACGAGAAGAATATTTCACCAACCACCACTATCAACACACACAAAACGCAAGAATTTTCTTTTTTTAAGGAATTCTTTTCATTGATTTTTTTTTTATTTTCATATGTTATTCTTATGTTTTGGTGAAAAAGATTCACAATTTGTTCATTTAGAAAACTTTTTGCTTTCTTTTTCCACTGAAAAAAAATTTCCGTTATCCATAACAAAATGATTTTGAATCAAATTTTCTTTCAAATATGATTTGTCAAATCAAAAGAACAATTCAAAACAGGAAAAAAATTCAAATCAGGAAAATTAAATTTTGGATGAAAATTGTTTTCGCTTTTTTTGGATTTGTTTTCCACCGAAGAAAACAAGACAAAATGAATAATGTAAAACAAAAATGATTTTTTTTTTTGTTCGGTTTTGTTCAAAATGTTACTCTTTCGTTCCAATATTTGATCAGAAAAAAAAGAGAAAAATGAAAATTCAATTCAAATCGACAAGGAACATGTATTTCACAAGGTTATATACATGTATCGGGTGAATATCATTCATCCACTATCTGTGCGTTTTCTCTTTCAATATTGAAAAAAAGTGGAAAAAATAGTGATATTCGACTTTCATTTTCCCGTTATTATCATTTTGTTTCTGTCTTTTTTTTTTTTTTTTTTTTTTTTTTTTAATTTTGACCTAATCGACCAACCGAAACGTATGTGTATCCCCGAAAAAGGG